GAGTAGCAATCTAAATACTGTAATTTTTGATGTAAAGAGGATTGCAGCTCGTCGGTGACAAGGAAGACCGGGCGAGCTCGTTGGCACGATGGAAACGGATACAGTTCCCGATTTGAAGATCGGCAAACTGTTTAGGTGCCATTTGACGGACTGGTTTGCCATCGTCGGCCTACTTGCTCTCTGGGGTGCTTGCCAAGTAATTACTCCCTTCCAACGGTATGTCGGCGCTGCTAATTTTACTACAGCGAGCATCATGTACCCTTACAAGTCGAACACAATTCCATTTCAGTCTGTGCCGGTATGGTCCTCTTTCGCGATGTCTGTGCTCATGTTCTCCCTTACTGAGATTGTTCGAGAGAAGTTTCAACCAGGGATAAGGGTTTAGGGTAGGAGGTCCTTGTCAGTTGGCTGCGTCTGTATTGCACTTCTGCAACATTCTGTAATTGATCTTTGAATCTAAGATTTGAGTGGTTTGCTGTTCATAGGCTATCGCTCTACTAGTCCCATTGTTTTTCATTTTCGTCCATTTCTTTCACCGAAGAAGCGTCCGCGACTTGCATCATGCGTTTCTGGGTACGGCTTGGAGTTCTTTCGTCTGCGTGAACCAGAACTTCGTCCATTTTTCTGCGTTTTCCTTTTTACGATTTAAATTGCAGACTCGTTTGTGAGTGATTTCGTGTTTAACTGCCATTGTTAGGTTTTTAGATTCTCGATCCCTCGAGTTAAGGGTTTTCGATCACATTCTAATCCTTGAAAACGTTAATGGCTTTGACAGGTCTTCTAACGACAGTTGCCCTAACTGCTCTCGTTACTGACGCGATCAAGATTGGTATTGGGCGGCCCCGCCCTCACTTCTACGCCCGTTGCTTCGGGAGTACTACTGCCATAGCTGTAAGTTGAATATAGACTTTTTACTACATTGATCTTTGTAACTAGACATTCGAAGCACCCAATGGTAAACCGAAAGCATTCTTTGACGTGAACACATCTGTAGAACCATATGACTGACAATTGCCAGTACCGTGAATGTGATGGCAGCAATATGATAATATTGGGAACGTCATCTGCAGAACACCTCCAGCACTCATGAAAGAAGCATACAAGAGCTTCCCTAGTGGTCACACTTCATGTGAGTGCCTTGCTCCGAACGATCCTTGAATCTTCCAGCCATCAGTCCCGGTTACGATTTCACGTGAGACTGCGTCTGGTGCGTTTCAGAGCTGTTGTGACCATCTTTCTGATCACTGTACGTTTTGCGGATCTTCAGGGTCTTTCGCAGGTTTGGGGTACTTGTCGATGTATTTGGCTGGCAAGCTCGGCGTATTCGACCACGGAGGTCACTCTTGGAAGCTTTTTCCCGTGGTTCTGCCAGTCCTCGGTGCTACCTTTGTCGCCATCACCCGGGTTGACGACTACTGGCATCATTGGACTGATGTTTGCACTGGTGCCGCTATCGGTGAGTGAAGACACCAACATCTGGTCATCTGAAATATAGAATTTGAGAAATCTCAACAGTGTGCTCTGGGATCATTTACATCAAAGTGGTCGTGAAGTTCTGATCGAGAAGTTTTTTTTTCTTTTTTTTTTTTTTTTTTTAGGGCTTCTTTCAGCGTATTTCTGCTACCGCCAACACTTCCCCAGTTTATTTGATGATGCCCGTAAGCTTCTGTCTTTCTTCTCCCCTACCTTTTCAGTTTCATTACGAGGCGCCTAGTTCCTTATGGAATGTCAGCTAACGATAGTTTTCCTGTGCTGGTTTTCGCAGCTAGCATTCCTTATGCGCATAGGCCGCGCGCAGTGTCAAGCCAATCTTCTAGCCAAACAAATGCACGCCAGTCTCAGGCATTGGACCGAGATTCATCCAAAGAGATGACAAATGATCTAGAGCGAGGTTCATCACAGATTCCTATGTTGTAAAAGGAAAGCTCCAGCAACGTCTCTTAGAGATCGTTGTGAGTTGAGTATGTTGTAGCGGTCTGTGTAGTGCACGGTTCTTAGCCGTTAAAGCATCTGCTGAGTCGAACCTGGATTTCGCGCTTGCAAACCCAAGGTAGGAGGAGCATATATCTTAAGGCCAACTTTGGAGCAAAGCCTAAGCATGGAGATCTTTTTCTCTTCGACCGTCTCTGCCAGTTAGCCGAGTGGAGGTCATTACTCAAAGCATACCATTGAAGTCCACGATATGTTCGGCACATTACACACGTACTATGTCTGTAAACTTATTTGTAATTTGGTAAACTTACTGCATTCACTGTGCAACTTCGCTAGAGTCTGCAAAAGAGAAAGAAAAACTTCTTGTGTTACTTAACTCTCAATAATCTTAGACAGGATACACACAGGCTGCACCCTCATCTAGATAAAATTGTAAGTTTACAATATGTAGTGCCATAAAAACGACATGCTGTATTTATCGTAATTATCCATACATCCTCGTGAGGATTTCCAGTTCAGCAACTAAATCAGATAAGTAGACCAAATTGTTTCCATAAAAATGTCTCATTTATCTTCTGATACAACATTGCATAGGGAACATACAAACAGTATCTTAATGAAAGTTATCCATTTTCATGGTCGATAGATAGGAAAGGTGAAATGAACAGCTTATTACCCTTCCTCGGACAGGCCATCAGTCAAGAGACATCTCTATCAATCTGCGCTCCGAAACATCCTCCTGTTTGTCCAAATCTACAAGGATTCTTCCAGGCATTCAGTAATACTTCAACAACATTCATCCTGTGCTCACGGTCCGCAATGACCTTTACCAGATCGCCGATAATCAATCAACTTCCAAACCTACATTGCGAGTAACCTCTAGTTCTGGATTGCCACTACAGATAGATTGTATCTCTTTAGCTTGAACACCTCTCTGATCTTTGCATTAAAAGTGTTGCCATCCTCACCAGCACTGTGTACATTGGGTTCAAACATGGCCCCTAAGCTCTGGGGCTCATGCATGTATCCAGTTCTTCTCGCCAGAATTACACAGCCGTGTAAGACATCGACTGATGGATCGACGTGACTTTCACAAGATTTCACGTGTACACTCACCCTCACTCCAGCGGAAGTGGCTGCTAAGATCAGACCTTATCTACACGGCGTTGGTTGAGACTACACACCAAACCAAGTAATTAAGAGCAATCTTGCTGGTCTTAGTAATGCCGCTTAAACCATAGAAAAAGGCCACAACAAATTTGTGGGAACGAAATGAGCACATTTACATTTCTGCCAATCAAGACTTGGAGAGCTTGAATTCTTGGAACTAATAGGATTCTTGAGAATAAAATGAGGATTGTAATTCGCACCTCAGGTACAGCATGTAGATGAAGATCTGCACCAGGCAAACACCGTAGATGGTACTGAGCTGTTACTTGACTACGGCGACTACAATGTGGTCTGCATCCACGACTCGAGTACATTGGCAGCATCTCTCCATCCCATATCTAGCATTATATCATGCGCTATGCCAGGCACAATTACTTCCTTCGTGCCCATATAACTCGCAGTCTCTTCAATTCCTTGCTTGTCGAGAATGAAGTCATTTTCAGCTCCAAGCACTAAAATGGAAGGAGAATTTTTTACAGGTGGAGGGACAGGGAGAGTCGAATTGAGATTTCGAAGGTCAAACAATGGCACCTTTGAGCTCTCTTTCATCAACTTTTGATAATGTGCAACATCTCCCTCGGGCATGCTCGGCGAGAAAAAGGTCTCGCGGCACAATGACACAGATGTAGCAAACATCTTCGCAGCGAGGCTAAGCGTCACTTTGATTGAAGCAATCGGCCTCGACATAAGAAATCGCTTCACAACCGCAGTGTTCCCAGTTGGAGGCACTGAACAGGCCAAAACTGCACCAGCAAGGGGTGGATACGGCTCACTCCATCCATAACTCTTAATAGATGTCATTGTGTCAGTGGAAAGTTGCGAGAGGTAATACTGCACGACAAGGCCTCCAAACGAGTGGCCGACTAATACTGGCGGCTGTATACAGTGTTGAGAAATGAAATGGGAGATGTCACGGGCGTGAGTCTGGATTGTACCCCCTGGCCCGGACTCGGAGGGCACATCGCTAGCACCTTGACCAAGAAGACTGATCGCGTAACAATCATATCCAAGGGACGAAAAGTAGGGCAACCAATGCACGGCCCAACACCATGCGGCGTGGTAACTGCCGTGCACAAATACTAGCGGTGGCTTCTTTTCAGAATTCTCGCAGGCTTCAGTAGAAAGAACCTCGAGCCGCAGCCCTGAAGGTAGCAGATGCCATATCTTATTCAATTTGCCATCTCCAGGTAGCTCCCTCAGCTGTTCCTCCACGCTAGTTCCAACCTTTGCCCGTGTGTGCAGTCGCTTGGAAACACGGTCACCAGGGAAGTTTCCACCGCATGAACTGTAAACCGATTTTGGTGATCTGAAGGCAGAGGAGTGGGACAAAGAAACTCTACACATGTCGTGAAAAATCCCTGAGACGAGAGAAGGAGCACACAACCGCGGAAAGGCGGCACCCGGCGACCATTTACAGCTATGGATACAACTAGCTGTGGAAACAAGGGCCACCATGGCAATGTAACACGCCTTCTGGCCAAAGAGACTCTCTCGAAGGAAATGAAGAAACCCCTAAATCCTACCGCAATCGACTCCGCAACGCAATGCGACGAATGCAGAATATGGCCTTGCAACTAACAAAACCTAATCACGTTGATACAAACAGAAATCAATGGCGCGTTTTCTTCAGCAACAGATTACGTAAAACTGTGGAGCCGTCTGAAAAAACACGAAATGAAAGACAGTGCGACGCTACGAACAAATTCTCAATCAATCAAACAAACAAACAAACAAACAATTGCAGCTGATTCCGAAGCCACTCCGTGTGGATAAAAGGCTAATTGCTAAGGAGGCAAGTGGAATCCCATTCCAGATTAGGCGTGGAAGACGACGATGACGAGGCAATGCCAACTCAGCAAATTACCGCACTAGTGATGACATGGCAAGATGGATGCGAGTATGATGTGGCGAGCAGCAATGCTTGGCAAGGACCCCGAGAGAGCACCCCCATGTATTGTGGTGTTTCTGTACAGTTTTATGAGAAATGAGCAGAATTGGCGGTGATTCATGTAAGTATGAATGGCAGTATTTTATATTTGAAAACCTTCTTTATTACAAAATAACAGTGAATTAGCGTAAAATTTTTAAAAATTACATACTAGTATTAAAATATCCAAATAAATACCACGAAATGGTATATTCATTTATGATGATTGTAGTAAAATAAATAAAAGCATATTCACAGAAGTATTCCATGAACCACACGTGTTTCATGAACCACACGTGTTTGATGTAGTAGACTTCATTAATCTTTATCTTCATAAATGCTAGTCATTAGTTCCTTTCTAATGAGTACTAAGTAGAAATGTATTAACACTTATTAATTATTCAGCGGCACTTGCTTCCATTTTATTTATTTTTGTTGTCTTTATTCAATGTAAAGCCATACCGCAATAATTTTAGCTTGAGTCAGATGCTATATAGAGAATGATAAAGAAATTAACGTGGATGCAGAAAAAACATGAGAAATATAAAAACGAACATTTGACTTTTCAGTGGTAGTTTCCAAATTAGATAAAATAGTATTCAGTGTTCTTATAATTACGCAAGATTAAATGCCATAGAAGCTACTACACAATATAAACTAATTAAACCATCTCTTGAAACCACAAAAACTTGGTGCTGTGGGCCAAACTCAAAGATGTAGCTAATGCAGGAAGGTGGGTTCAACAAACGGCTCAAGGATATGGTAATTCTGCGGCCTTTTGTGGTGGCAGTAGAGCTGAAGCGATTTTCTCATCCAGTTTCATTGAGCTGTGGAAGCTTACGGACGTTCCAGAGAATCCAGAATGTAGTGAAACATGGGTTTAATCGAGTTAAGCATTCAAACACACAAACTGCAAAACAACTGACTCTGTATCAAAGGATTTAGGTTCCCTACAGCATGTGGGGCAACACAAGAATAGATACGAGTAACTGCACTTTAATTGCCTGAAAATAGGCATTAATACGGCCTTAATATTCTATACAATACTACAATCCAGGCCCCATTATTTGGACCCTACAAGAGCACAGCAAGAATTTGCTGCATACAGGACTCCAATAATCTGCATCCTTGAGCTGCCATGCCAGATTTTCGCCTCGTGGTAATCTAAGCATTCTGATACCCTATACAAGCCTTATGATAATGCATTACGGTCTCCTGGCAAAGGATGCTCATACGGGATGCTTCTCAGCACCGGAGAAATGGTCTAGACGGGAAGGCAGCAAAGCCATGCAATGCAGTTCTTCGTCCGAATCTTGCTAGAAATGATCGTGTGGCAGTGATTGAATGCACAATAGATAGCTCCTCAGTTGTCACCCAAAAGTGTTGATAGAACAAGTTGTTGTACAAACTCAGCGCGCATGTTAGCATGCTTTAGCTTCTCCTCTCGCTCCTCCGCAGTAAGCAAATTCTCCACACTGCTTTGCCAACAAAACACGACATAAATATCAGCCGACAATTACATAGCATGCACAGGAATCGCATGTCAAAACTTAATTGAACAAAATTCAGGTACTTGAAAAAGAGGGTATTAGAGCAAGAAAGACATGCATTAACCGCTTAAGAGAGTAATAATCATGAACTCATAAATGGTGATGGAATCAGATATATCATAATACAACAACTTGCCTGGATTTCGATTGCTGGCTCAGAGAAAACTTCGTTGGTTGTTCCTCCGTCACAGCAGTGGGTTTTGGAGGATCTTCAGTCTCTGGTATGGGAACGTTGTACACCAACGATGAGAGAAGTGGGTCGGCAGCGTTTGATATGCCAGATGACCGAGATGTACCACCTAGAAGAGCCTGCAAGTGCGCGTCGCAGAGCTCCTTACCAAGAAATGAGAAGGTAGAACTAGATGGAACTCCAGCTCTCCTGAACCTCCTTCGGCGCTGCATTTAAGCTGCTGTTAAGGTGTGCACATCATTTTGCACTGTTTAATTCAATGACAGAACTGCAACATTTAAACGCAGCTCTCATTCACAATAAGAACAAGCTGACATTTAAGTTCAGACACATTCCTCAAGCCACACGTCAATATTTTCAAATTACGATAAAGGCAGCTTCAATATCGCATAGAAAGGATATCTTAGATAGGTGAATATGCTGCGACGAAATGTGGCCCACCATGTCCTTCGATATTTTTGCAGCACATACTGGACACATCTGTTTCCCAAAACAAGTCAAATCGTTAGAACAATCACATGTTACACAAGAAAAAAAACCGGATGCAACTTTTCAGCCAGAACAAAAACAACATTCATTTGATAGGATTACAACTTGATGTTCTTTAAGAACATGAAATGACACATTAACAAATCATGAATTTTTCAATGGAATGCTCATTGCATGAAATAAAATATTAAACCTCAGGTAGTTAGGACTTGCAGAACCTTGAATTCCAAAAGACATCGATATTTTTAAGCTAAAAAATGTGATGAAACTAACTTTGCAGGAAGACTTACAGCAGCCCTAGATTCAAAACAATGTTCATCCTCGAGATGTGAGCAGAGAGCAGAAATGTCGAACTCTTCATAACAGAAAGGGCACGAAAACTCAGCCCGCAGCTCCTCATCACCATCCACATCATCTAGGTTAATTTGACGATCTGCACAGAAAGAGCATAAATAGCAGTGTTCACAGCAGGATACATGAAAATCTAGAACACAAAACCACAACCCAGAACGTAATGTCTCCTGCACCTACTGACAGATAAACCAAAGCTACATACAACTTCTTAAAAAAAGACCAGGTTGATTGAATCGAGACTGGTTGACTAGTACGTAACAGCTCAGAGCATGTTAACGCCTCCTACAACTGATCAATAATGATCTCCCTTACAGCAGAAAAAGAGTATACCTTATAGCTTCCAGAGATGAGAGGAATATCCCGCAACACAGTTCTTAAAATATGTACAAAGTCTAATGAGCGACATGCCGAATGTATAAAAATACGATCAAACAGCAAGTACGCAGGATGAAGTATTCCGACACAAACCGATAAGAGATTGAGGGGACTGAAATGTATGATGGCGCTTTGAAGTTGACATCCGAGCAGTCCAGAATTCTCCGTCCATGTTGCCTTTTTTCTCCGTCTTCAAATTCGCCTCTTCTTAAAACTATAACCCCTACCCAACAAATGTGCACGATGTGGAAAACTCCAACACGCTTGCCTATGTATACCTTCCGCTTGTTGAAAATCACGACCAGGTTGTCCTATCACCCGTAAAGAGGTCTTTCAATCCAACTCTACTTGGTCCCCTCCGAGGTAATTACAATAAGCAAGTACAGTTTGAATATTGATAACACTAACTCTCACACCATCTCCTCTCCCTTCACTCTTTCACCCAGCAAACGACCGTGATCAAAGTTCCAAAACCCAAAAACTACTTCTTTTGACAGCCTGCACAACTACATATGTTGTCCGCAATGCTGGCTTCAAAGGATGGTGATTTTTTAATACACGCTTTTCCTACAAAGCAAAGGACAAACATTGATCAGTAAAGTTCCGCAGGCCGTCAATTTTTTCCGTAACGACTGCGAGCTAGTCTGCACAACATCTTCCACCTCCGGTTGAAGCCCTAACCATTGTATCCAGGACCGAACAAATCGACATGTATTTTGATACGTGAATTCATAAAAGTGCAGAAAATCAACGTCACTGAGGTCCAAAGTCACACTTTTCGTGATGTCACACACTCTATTCTAACCCTAGATTTGATATATGAAGAAAACAATGCTTGCGCATTCGCCAAGTTCTCAACGACGATAATCAACCAGTGATCACCGCTGAAAACTGCAAACACGTCCAAAAACATGGAAACTGGTACAACAATTGTTCCCAAAACCCTTGCGGTGGAAAAAGTACAACCGCAGGTGCCAAACGTCCTGCCAAGTCTTACACCTATGCTAATTCAGAGATCAGACCCATTTCTCAGGTGCAAAAAGGGCACCTACGATGACACGATTATGACTTGAAAGCAATGCAAGGGCACTGGGCATGCCATATTCCTCCGCTTCCCACAAACTCAGGTTATAGAGTACTAAAAGCTAGGCATGAATCGATATGACACGTAAGAACGATAGAGGAGCCCAAACAAAAACCATCGTCAAAACAACACCAATAACATAATAACAGCAATAATAGGAACTCGACAGGAAAACACCATCAAACAAACGACAGAACAAATTCTGATGGTTTTCATATTGCAGCGTCAATAACCAGCCACAATGAAGCTTCACATTGCACCACCCAATACAATTCCCCAAACTGAATAACCAGCATCACCACACAAAATCAACATCACAGCTCCAACCAAAACTACACCCGAAACCCTACCATCACGAGAAACTACACCTAAACCGACCACGAAATCCCACTTGGGACGCGCAATCCCACAACCCTCACTCCAATTCTCGCCCAGGCTCGCGATCGAACTGGCCGACCGACCACCGACCACTCATCGCCTCCTTCCCAACCCAATTAGCAAACCGCCCCGACTCGCAGCGACCTCCACCCCGGAATTATGCACTAAAACCTACAGGAACAGCGTACCTCGCTAGCTCCCCCGCTGTGGGTTTGGCCAAAATACGACCAACCGCTCCCGCTCCACCCACTCTCCCCTTCTCGGAGCTCTCCCGCTGATCCCTTGACCCTAACTCAGCAACGGAAGTGACCGTATGGCCGTCTCCGGTGCGACCTCAGTGAAATTGGGGGCGTTTGGGAGTTTCCGACTGAAGCAATGGAATGTACTCCAGGCTGGCGAGATAAGCAAGGCTCTCTATGTGTGTGCCAAACCCCCACCGTCGTCGTCAAGTTCGTGTTTCCGGTTTCGGCATTCTACTTCTTCTTCTTCTTCGCTCCACATCGTCTTCCTCGCCATCTCCTTCCTTTCCCTTCCTCTTCGTCGTCTTCCCCGTCTCGCCTTCTTCGGTCCGTGTGGGCGGAGCAAGCCGTGAGCGGAGCGTTCGCATCCGAGCAAGGGAACGCCGTCGGGGACGAGCGCTGGAGTTTCGGGGGAGCTTCGGGGAACGCGAGTTGTCTGCAATTCGAAGAACAGTTCCTTTTCAGAACTTGTCGTCATGCGAACCAGTTGCTCTCAGGCCTATCCCGTTCCACCATCTGGGAACGCGTTCTATTTCTCACGAACATAAGGTCGTTTGAAGTGTTGCTCATGGGAACGTGTGAGTTTCTGGGAGCGGATGATTGTGGGAAGAATCGCGGATTCAGCTTGTTTTGGATGTCAGAATGGATGATAAAGTAACTTGTAATACGGGGTTTGCCTTCACTCTCTCATCTTTTGGATGAACGTGCTTGGAATGCATCTCTTTGTCTCCTCATTGTGAAGTTACCAAGTTATGTGTAGTTCGTTAACTCTTAAATTGTGTAAGTGTTGCTTGTTACACGATTTTACTACTGTTACGATTACCATGCCCATGAGAAATCCATATAAAACCATACTTAAAATAATAATTAAATTAAGTGAAAGTAGTTTTATATAGCTAATTAATTGGATCAAATAATTCACATAAACAAGTGTTGTTAGAGCAAATAAATGCCCATAATTATGTATGTAATTTTAAAATTTTTTTTATATCATTTTATTTTTGAGAATAAATATTAAATATTTTTTAATCTTTTTAAAGTAAAAATATTTGAATTAATGAATACAATAATTATATAATATAATTTGGATTTCTTTTCACAAAGATTGAAATACAAGATTATACTAAAACATTAGTAAGAAGAAATATAACCAAGTTTTTTTCTTTTACATATATAAAAACAAAAAAAATTATAAATAAATTATAAATAAAAGTATTATAATCAAAACTTATTTTAAATTGAATAAATTCTCCATAAGCCTTTGTATAAAAATATTATAAAAAAATTGAATACATTAAATATAGATTATATAATAATATACACTAAACTTTTTAACTTTTAAATTAAAACGCAAATATAAGTGCTAACAAATTCTTAACATAAAGATGATTATTATAGTTAGTTCAACAAAATATTTATTTGATTAATTAATTTGTGGTATTTATAGATCTATATTATCAAATATTTTTTAAAAACTATACTTTAAAAATAATTTTATATTTTATATTTATTTTCATATATATAATTATATTAAAATTTTTTATTTATTATATTTTTATTTTAATCAATTAAAAACTGATATATATATATATATATATATATATATATATATATAATGTATTTTTTTTAAATATATTTTAAAAAATTATTTTTTTCAATAAAGCATATTTCTTGACATACAACAATCTCAAATATGTTATATATTTAAAATTTTCCAGTCCAAATAATTATTTTATATTTTTTTGTAATATTAAAATTTCACTAATAATAGTTCTTTACAATACAAGTATGTAGTCATTAGTTTTATTTGCTACTTAAAATCAAATATATTCATTGTATATTCATCACAAACAAACATATTTACTCTAATATTTACCTATATGATTAAGTAGAAGTAAGTAAAAGTAGATTTATTTCATAATATTTTCTAAACAAGCTTCTTAGAAGCTTTATAGACATTGCTTTGACTTTACATGTATTTGTACTTGTGTCAAGGACAAGAACCCAATAAAAGCAAATAATCAAGTGAAATTTTTCTCAAAGAAGTATGATAAAATAGAAATAAAGAAACATGTATATTAAAAAGAAACTAGAATGGCTATTACCAAAAGGCAAGAAAATTAAAGACACTTGAATCTAAACTTGAGTGAGAAAAGAATTGGTAAGAATGAAAAAGGCTTCATTCTTGCCTCTATATATATTATGTACTTAAGAGCTACATGACAATGTTTTATATGACCTCTAACATCTATTGACTTTATAAGCCACATGTCTTAACTTATAAAGCAATTTTTTTAATCGGTGCACCATATAATTAGCTTGTTTCATAAGCTATCCACATACATAATACATGGCTAACTTATTGACTAAGTTTTTAACCTAAAAGTCAATTATAAATATGTATAAAGTTAAAACCATGTCTATAAAGCTTCTAGAAAACTGTCAAGGATAAGAACTCGATGAAAAAATAATTCACATAAGCGAGCCTTTACTCAAAGAAAGGTAACAAAATATAAATAAACAAGTATGTATATTGAAAGAGAAATTGGAATGGCTATTGCCAAAAGATAAGAAAACTAGAGACCCTTGAAACTAGACTGGAAGTAAGAAAAGAGTTAACAAGAGTGAAGAAGGCTTCACTCTTGTCTCTATATATACTATCTAACTAGGGGCTACATGGCGACGTTCTATAAGACCTCCAATATGTGTTGACTTTGTAGGACACATGCCTTGACTTACAAGGCAAGTTTTTCTACGTAAGGGTCACATAGTTAGCTTGATCTTCAAGCTAACAACATGTGTGGCACATGGCCAACTTGTTGACCACGTTTCTAATCCAAAAAGTCAATTAAAGACACCTATGAAGTCAAAGCAGCGTCTATGAAGCTTCTAAGAAAAGGTCCAAACTTATAATAGTCCAATTTGTCAAAAAAGCGAGTAGTCTTGATATTATGACAAAATAACCATATTTTATCATTGACATTGAATTTTTGTAGTTCTTTGTGATAGACATCTCTATATATCTTTTGTTGTTCTTAAACTTCTTTTAATTGTACCTTCATTGTTGCATATAGTTCTAACAAACAATTTGCTAAATCTTTTGCCTTATGAATATCAACTCTTAAAAAATCAAAAGTATGAAGTTATAGATGATAACTATTATTAGTAAAAAAATTTGATGAATAGAAGAATATATCATATTATTATAAGCAAATTATATAGATAGCAAAAGAATTGTCCAATCATTTTGTTGGTAGTTGATGGTATATTTTAAATATTGCTCCAAAACTTGATTGGCACAACCATTTGTCCATTAATTTGAGGATAATAGGTTGAAAATTTTTTTATATCTATCTTTAGAATCTTAAAAATATTCTCTAAAATCTTGAAACAAATTGAATCTTTTTATTTGATTTAATATCCTTGGCTAATCTATGATAGTGATAGATATTTTTTTAAAAAAATATTAATTATTTTTTTACTTGTGATAAATTTTGTACATGGTATAAAATATGCCATAATGGTAAAACAATATATTATCATGAATATAAAATCATATGAACCTAAGTTTGGAAGATCCTTGATAAAATCCATAGAAATAAAAGATCATAGTTGTTTGGATATGAACAATGGTTCGAGAAGTTCATAGGATTGATGATAGGGAGTTTTTAACCTTATATAAATATTACATAATTGAATAAAGTATTTCATTACCTTTCACATTTGTAGCCACAAAAAATCTCTAAATATAAGCTCCAAAATCTTATTTTATTTAAAATGTCCGACCGTTGAAAAGTCATGACATGCTTGAAGAGTACGTAAATATGCTTTTCCTTCTAAAATATATGTACATCTTTTGAAATAGAATATGTTGTTCTTGAACCAAAACTTGGAAGCATCATGAGACTTAGAAGAAGGATTCTTGATATCATGAATGAAAGGATCAGAGGACATACTTGATTGAATTATTTTAACAAAAGTTAAATCAATAGTTAATATTGATTTTATTGATTAAAGATAAAAATAATTTGGCTTTAAAAAAAATATTTTTTATTGATCAAAAATATATTTTCTTCTTTTGGTGCAAGCTAAGAATGTCTAACAAACCTTGTTATTTTTTGGATCAATAAGTGATCTTAAAATCAAATCTTGAAAAAAACTTGATTCAACATGGTTGGAGATGATTCAAAACATATGCTAATATGAAATATTTAAGATTCTTATGGTCTATATAAATAGTAATTGGATTAAAAGTATCTTCTAGATAATGGCACTATTCTTAAAACAAATCTATAATTGTAAGAAGTTCTTTATTGAGAATCTTGTAGTTGATCTTGGCTACTAAAAAGTTTTTAGAGTAAAAAGCTACTCGGTGAAATTTACCATTTTTTCTCATTTGAGATAATATGGCATCCAAAGCAAAGTCAAATGCATCTATTTCCATAAAAAATGGCTTAAAAAAGTTGACGTGAAAACAAGATTGGTGTAGAAATAAAGATTGTCTTCAAAGCTTTAAATGTTGCTTCTATTTCTTGATTCTATTAAAATTTGGCTTTATAAGTCAAATGTATAAGTGGAGTTACAACTTGAAAGAAGTCTTTAATGAAGTTTCAATAATAATTGACAAATCTCAAAAAATATTGAACATCTTTTACCGTTTTTGAGATCTTTCAACCTATAAAAGTTTGAACTTTCTTAGGATCCATTATAAGTCTATCATTTGAAATGATGTATCGTAAGAATTCAACTTGAGTAGTGTGAAATACACACTTTTCTATCTTAGCATAGAGTCCCACATCTTTTAATTTTTGTAATACACAATACATATGAAGTTTATATTCTTTTGTGTTTTTAGAATAGATTTAGATGTCCTCTAGATAATAGAAAATCAAATCATCTAAAAACTTTCAAAAAAAATCATTCATTAAATATTAGAAAGATGTCAATGCATTTCTAAGTTCAAAAGACATGATCATGTCATATTATAATCATTTATAGTATGTAAAAATTAATTAAAATAGATAATATATTTATAATTTTTGATGTACTTTAAAGTGGTTAGTAGATTAATTTAAAAAGAATTGATGTAAAAAAATTTATTTTGAGGTTTACATATATTAATTATAGTGTTTAAAATGTATAAGATATAGATATCTAATATAAAAATTAAGGAGAAGATTGAGACTCAAAGATGAAGATCCAAACCTTTAAGAAGCTTATTTGGAGGGATGAAGGTAAAATATGGATGGATTGAGGCTAAAAGTAAAGATCTTTATCCCTATTAGTCAAAGGCCATATCCAATGAACATTTA